CCATTATCTAGTATAGAATGCACACATTATCCACTATCTAGTATAGAATGCACACATTATTCAACATCCAGTATAGAATGCACGCATTATCCACAATTCAATATAAAATGCACACATTATCCACGATCTAATATAGAATTCGCACACTACTATTATCAACAATCTAGTATAGAATGCACACATTATCCACTATCTAATACAGAATTCACACATTATCCACTCTCTAGTATTAAATGCACATATTACCCACTATAGAATTCACACATTACCCACCACCCAGAATAGAATGCACACATTATCCAACATCCAATATAGAATGCACACATTATCCATTATCTAGTATAGAATGCACACATTATCCACTATCTAGTATAGAATGCACATATTATTCAACATCCAGTATAGAATGCACGCATTATCCACAATTCAATATAAAATGCACACATTATCCACGATCTAATATAGAATTCACACACTACTATTATCAACAATCTAGTATAAAATGCACACATTATCCACTATCTAATATAGAATGCATACATTATCCACCATCCAGTATACAATGCACACATTATCCACTAATTCACACATTATCCAGTATCTAGTATAGAATGCACATATTATCCACTATAGAATGCACATATTATCCACTATAGAATGCATAAATTATCTAGTATAGAATGCATAAATTATCTAGTATAGGATGCACACATTATCCACTATCTAATATTATCCACGACCCAGTATAGAATGCACACATTATCCACCACCAAGGATAGAACGCACACATTATCCACTATTATAATTCACACATTATCCACTATCTTGTATATAATGCACATATTATCCACTATAGAATGCACACATTATCCATTATCTAGTATAGAATGCACACATTATCCACTATCTAATATTATCTACCATCCATTATAGAATGCGCACATTATCCACCATCAAGGATATAATGCACACATTACCCACTATTATAATTCACACATTATCCACTATCTAGTATATAATGCTCATATTATCCACTACAGAATGCA